AAAGGGAAAATCCCTTCCCAGAGTCGCGGTGAGAGCTGCAAAACTTACGTACGGGTAACGTTAGTTTATCGGTAGTGTGAATGTCCTTCACGGTTTATCGCCATTCACGGTTTGACGGTAGTTTAAACGCGCCCTAATCCAGTTTTCCGTTTTCCAAATGGGTCTCGCCATGCAAAATGCAAAATGTATGGTGGCAAAACCCCGACTTCACCCGAAACAAGTGTGCCTTTTGAACCCTTTGTTAGTGGCTAGCGACTGTATTTTCGTTGAATTGCGTGAAAAAACCCCACAATCAACGACAAATAAGTGGGGGCACCACATTTTCACAAGGGGGGCACTCCGCCCCCTACCCTCCTTGGCTAGAGCCCTGAGGATGCCCGTATAAAATGTATACAACGGCAAATATCTCCCCGTGTACGGAAATGTTTTGGTCCAAAGCAGGAGAGGACTATCCTGCTCTAACTGAGCAGGGCTATTGGACAGCCTGCAGCCAACCATGTGCCTTTCTCTTGAAGCTCTGTCAGTTTTAGACTGTGTACATGTGCTCAATATCCAGTCTAGCCACTGTAATGCAACGCCGTGTGCCGTGTGCCGTGTGTGCCTTGTGTACATGTGTTGCATTCCATGCTGCACAGACTGCAGAGAACACCGTGCTCTACGAGATCGAAAAGCAAAAATTCCACGCCATCGTGAAGAAGTACTCTCGGCGATCGCTCAAAGAGCTTGCGACTGAAGGCGTAACCCGTTATGGCCTGGCACCACCAGCACCGCAGGGAAAGGCACGCTTGCGCAAGCGCTCCTTTTCGGCATCGGACATTCCGCAGGCAGTCCGAGGCAGCGGTGGTCCTACTACCCATGCTCATTCCAAGCACTTTCTTCCGGCGGTAAGGTCATGCTCATGTTTGCTTACTGGCGGCCTGCCCTTGTGCAAACTGTAATGAGGTGACATTGTGTTCATGAACACTGTGTGTAATGAGGTGACATTGGTGGTGTTGTGTTCAGGGACACTGTGTGTAATGAGGTGACATTGGTGGCGTTGCGCTCAGGGACACTGTAGGGACACTGTGTGCATGCACATGTGCGGCAGAATCGTCTTACGACAGGGTTCTAGCCGACGGCTTGAAACTAGGGTGAAACGGTTCCATGTTTTTCATGTTCGGGTACCCGAATGCCAGCATTGTTTCCCACGGTTCGGGTATCGGTTCCATGCACTCTTTTCTCCAGACCGACAAAATGCATTCGCGACAATTATTTTTTAGAAAAAAACATTTTTACGAGCAAGAATGAGACATCGGAGAGTCCAAGTGCGAAGAAGATAATGACCAGAGAACTCTTTGGAAGAGTGGGGATCGTTAGGTAAGACATTTAAAATCTTGAGTAGACGACGTGTACATGTATTTGTACAAGAACGAGATTTTTCGAGTTTCGGTTCGAAATTTGACGGAACGGGTACCCGATTCTTTTCAGCTGGCGGTTCCAAAACCGGTTCCTTACCCGAACCGTTTCACCCCTACTTGAAACCTGCAGCACGGTGTGTGTGTGTGTGTGTGTGTGTGTGTGTGTGTGTGTGTGTGAGTGTGTGTGTGTGTGTGTGTGTGTGTGTGTGTGTGTGTGTGTGTGTGTGTGTGTGTGTGCGCGTACTGGCCAGAAAAACCGCTTCAATCAGCTGGGTGGTGTAGACCAGGCTAAAATTAGTGACAGTCATTTCCTCAGCCTTGCAAGCTGTTGAATGGTGTAATCCCAGCACGAGTTGCTATGTCTAGCGTAGCTATTCGCTATCATCGCTTCCGCGATGGGCAGGTCCGAGGTGTGTGTGTGTGTGTGTGTGTGTGTGTGCGCGTGTGCACGTGTGCGTGTTTGTGTGTGCGAGTTCGCGCGCGTGCATGTGTGCGAGTGCACATACCAGGACAGGTGTACAGTCAACTTCGCTAATAACGACTGCGGATATAACGACAATTCGCGAATAACGACAGAATTTCCATGCCCAGAGCAAAGTCCCATCCAACTGTAATACATAATTATAATGAGACTTCGGGTATAACGACACTTCGCGAATAAGGACACTTTGCTGATGCCCCGCCGAGTGTCGTTATACGCGAAGTTGACTGTATGCCACATACAGGTTAACAATAGGTGCACAGCTAGCGTGTAACCGTTTGCAGTGATACTGTTTCACTGCATGTGTGTGTGTGCACAACATTGCGTTTCATAGATCTCGGCGAAAACCAGTCCACGCTCGCCCATGACTGGATTGTCCAGGAGTATGTCAAACTCGCCAGTCATGTCGCGATCCTCTTCGCGCACTGCCAGCCCTGTGTCCACATCAGGCACTAGCACTCCGACGCGTCGCGAGTTTCTGCCGCCGCTCAACCCGTCCAGCAGGCCTGGCAGCTCGCTGACTGCAAACCGGGATAACTTCTCCACAGGTAAGAGGGCCTTATGTGCTGGTGACTGCATGCATGGATGCTGGGCCCAGTGCATGCATGCATTCACTGGGCCAAGTGCATGCATGGACTGGGCCTAGCATCCATGCATGCACTGGGCCTAGCACCCATGCATGCACTGGGCCCAGTGCATGCATGCTGGGCCCAGTGCATGCATGCTGGGCCCAGTCACCAGTGCATGCATGCTGGGCCCAGTGCATGCTTGCTGGGCCCAGTCACCAGTGCATGCATGCTGGGCACAGTGCATGCATGCTGGGCCCAGTCACCAGTGCATGCATGCTAGGCCCAGTGCATGCATGCACTGTGCCCAGTCACCAGTGCATGCATGCACTGGTGACTGGGCACAGTGCATGCATGCACCGGGCCCAGTCACCAGTGCATGCATGCACTGGGCCTAGCGTATTCATACAGTAAAGCCTGTGTTTGTCGGACCCTGTACCAAGCGGAATGCGGAATCCTGTATTGACCGGACAGATTTCCATGCACCAAAGTGCAGTGGCTCGAACGTGCATGCCTGGATCAAGCGGAATCCTGTCATTTCAGGATAGCTTCCGCTGCACCAAGGCCATCTGTGGTTAGGGCAGGTTTTAAAAGACTACATGAGCACACTAAACACACTAAACACACTAAACACACATACCAAACAAGACTGAATGGATACGTTGGATTTCAACAGGAGTGCATAACCCCCAAGAATGTGCAGCTCCAGTATGAATGCTGTCCCGACAGAATTTAAAGTTGACGTCATTTTTATGATGCAATGCACTTTGTACATGTATTATCAGACGTACCCTGGACCTGTGGTGGACAATCCTCTTTTTACATGACATGTATTTATATCAGACGTACCCTGGACCTGTGGTGGACAAATCCTCTTGAGATCATGTACAAGCTAAAGTAAAAACACGTGTGATGTGCTGAAAATCGTTACAAACATCGTAAATCACTCGTGCGAGGAGCATTGCATCATAAAAATGGTGTCAACTGAAACTCTGCCCGGACAGCAGGGTATGCGTGAGTTGCACACTCTTTTAAAAGGGGTATGTACTCTTGTAAGAAATGGTTTGCTCCCCACACCGGAGCTCGCGCTATTCCGCCGACTTTACTTGACACTTGACTGACTCACGACTGCCATCCAGAGCACACGAGAAGTCCATCGAACCTTCGACTCGGCAAACCTGCAAGAAAGCACCACTCCCTGCTCAATACACAGTGTTTCGGGGAATTCACCCCTCATCAGTTGAGCTTGAGTAGGCTGAGGAAGATTGTGCCTGAAGAGCACCACTTATATAGTGCTCTCCAGGCACAAACATCACCAGGGATACAAACTTACAGAGACGCTCCGTTTCAAGCGCGACAAACACCTCGTGAACACCAGATAGCAGCGTGAGTCAGTGTCGCTCCTGGACGGTGAGACAGACGTCGAGGACCCTCGGTCATTCGCAACGCTGTCACCTCCAAACCAACTAGTCGCAAGCCCGCGCTGGGCACAACAGTACGAAGTAGTGGTTGCGACTTCGGCGATGATTTGTAAGAAATGGTTTGCTCCCCACACCGGAGCTCGCGCTATTCCGCCGACTTTACTTGACACTTGACTGACTCACGACTGCCATCCAGAGCACACGAGAAGTCCATCGAACCTTCGACTCGGCAAACCTGCAAGAAAGCACCACTCCCTGCTCAATACACAGTGTTTCGGGGAATTCACCCCTCATCAGTTGAGCTTGAGTAGGCTGAGGAAGATTGTGCCTGAAGAGCACCACTTATATAGTGCTCTCCAGGCACAAACATCACCAGGGATACAAACTTACAGAGACGCTCCGTTTCAAGCGCGACAAACACCTCGTGAACACCAGATAGCAGCGTGAGTCAGTGTCGCTCCTGGACGGTGAGACAGACGTCGAGGACCCTCGGTCATTCGCAACGCTGTCACCTCCAAACCAACTAGTCGCAAGCCCGCGCTGGGCACAACAGTACGAAGTAGTGGTTGCGACTTCGGCGATGATTTGTAAGAAATGGTTTGCTCCCCACACCGGAGCTCGCGCTATTCCGCCGACTTTACTTGACACTTGACTGACTCACGACTGCCATCCAGAGCACACGAGAAGTCCATCGAACCTTCGACTCGGCAAACCTGCAAGAAAGCACCACTCCCTGCTCAATTCCCCGAAACACTGTGTATTGAGCAGGGAGTGGTGCTTTCTTGCAGGTTTGCCGAGTCGAAGGTTCGATGGACTTCTCGTGTGCTCTGGATGGCAGTCGTGAGTCAGTCAAGTGTCAAGTAAAGTCGGCGGAATAGCGCGAGCTCCGGTGTGGGGAGCAAACCATTTCTTACAAATCATCGCCGAAGTCGCAACCACTACTTCGTACTGTTGTGCCCAGCGCGGGCTTGCGACTAGTTGGTTTGGAGGTGACAGCGTTGCGAATGACCGAGGGTCCTCGACGTCTGTCTCACCGTCCAGGAGCGACACTGACTCACGCTGCTATCTGGTGTTCACGAGGTGTTTGTCGCGCTTGAAACGGAGCGTCTCTGTAAGTTTGTATCCCTGGTGATGTTTGTGCCTGGAGAGCACTATATAAGTGGTGCTCTTCAGGCACAATCTTCCTCAGCCTACTCAAGCTCAACTGATGAGGGGTGAATTCCCCGAAACACTGTGTATTGAGCAGGGAGTGGTGCTTTCTTGCAGGTTTGCCGAGTCGAAGGTTCGATGGACTTCTCGTGTGCTCTGGATGGCAGTCGTGAGTCAGTCAAGTGTCAAGTAAAGTCGGCGGAATAGCGCGAGCTCCGGTGTGGGGAGCAAACCATTTCTTACAAATCATCGCCGAAGTCGCAACCACTACTTCGTACTATGTACTCTTGCTTTGAAGAAATCTGCGAAAGAGCTCTCTGACAATATTAGAGATGGACATGGTCTCTCACTCCACTGACTTCTGCATGTGTGTCCAGGACTATAGGTCTCATGTGATTGCTTTTCTCCCTGCTCCCTTTGCAGCGCTGGCCCATCAGCTGAGTAACTTGGTAGATGGAAGCTCCGGCAGCACACCACCCACCGTTGTGCGCTCACCGGCCACAGCGCGGCGTGCGGCAGCAGGTCGCTGGGACCAGTCGCAGCGGTCGGCGTCTCCAATGACGATGCGCCGTGCCGCTACGCTGGACTCACCGGTACATCTGCACGGCGGCAACATGTCCTGACGCTTCCGTACATGCACTCAGGTTCAAACCAAGAGTAAACAAGCTCCGGAGCTTATTCTTGCTCAAACATGTACCTACATGAGCTCAGAGGTATCAGTACTCAGTGTCGAGTCTTGATACAAAGATCAAACTCTTTGTCTGCATAGCTGTCATACAGATGAAGTACCAATCCGTATACAGATACACGTACTGCAGACCAGTCAGTGATAAAAGGCCGCACGCAGTTGTTTGCAATGCTGCACATGTTCTATATAAAGAATTTAAAATTAATTTTAATAGATGTACCACACTGAGCAGGAAATGTAGGCTACAATCCGAAGGATCGAATAAACTTCCAGGGGCCTCACCTCTATTTACGGTAATCTTATAATCTTCAGCCAGGTTAGGACCAGGGAGTAGTACTACTCCTTGGTTAGGACGCTAGCCGTGTAGAGACGTCTAGACATGCTCAGCTAGCAGGATCTGCATATCTGGCCATGCATAATTACACTTGAATGTTTTAAATGTTAGTAATCTAATTATTTGTACTGCTGCTGCAGACACTTATGTTGATTTACTGAATAGCTCACTCCACCACACTGTACAATTGCTGAAATGCAGCCATGGCTGACCATCCATTTGCCAAGAACTAACACTTGTCTTGCCTTGCGCACGAGGAGACTCGGTGCACTCTGCGTGTGGCGTTTGTGAGGCCATGCATGCGTACTGTGTACCGCTCTTGCTACTTCAGAACTGGAGAGTGTGGACTAAACAACAGCTGCACTGAAAAGGCTGCGCTGTGCTGCCATCACCGGTGAACCTCAAACAGCAACAACATGCATGCCTCTACTAGCTCCTGCGGCAACAACCAACTCCCCACATATGCATGCTACAGTATTTCTAAGTTCAAAAACTCCAAACAGACTGTAAATCAGCCGACACGTAGACATCACCGAGATCAGACAGGTGTGCTCCACCAGCGGAAACCCACCACAAATAAATTGCATGCTCCACCAAGCTGGATTCTCAATAGGAAGGAGGGGACTCCTGAAGTCCTCAAAAGCCAAGTCATAGCACTGGACTAAATCAGTGTACAAGCACACGCCAAATCAGCACACACCGCACACATACACACTGGACCCAAAGCAATAGCGAGCCAGATTAGAATGGATACAATAGTGATACGTAACGTTGAAGATGACGTGTAGCCACGACATGAAAACAGAAGAGAACAAACTTGTCGTCTTCAGAATTTACAAAGGCACGCAACAGTAGCAGGCAAACTCCCCCCCCCCCCCCCCCCCCTCACACACACACACACAGGCGAACGAACACAAGCAGCAAAACGCCGGGCCTATACCCCAGCATGACGGCTGGCCAATAA